AGGAGAATATATATTATTCTTTCTCCCCAATGCCATGATAAGCTTCATAAATTATTCTCTTTGAGATTGACATGACTTGCAGTTTGGCAGCAATTCTGAACATCAGCTAGTTCCTTTTGTGAAAAGAAAATATTACTGGAAAAGTAATTTTTCTTAGTAAACGATTTATAACTGAATTACATCCTATCTGATTAAGGCACGTTTCAAATGCAGATGGAAGAAGTACAACTCAAAGGCATGTCGTGTAAATTGTGGTTGGAAGGTGTTACTGGAATAGCATTTGGGTTTAAGATCATGTTTAAATGACTGTTTAGAAATGTTCTCAATCATTTTGCTTTCTTCAGCTTTGGGATTTCACTTACTGTATTTTGCTTCAGGAGCTTTTTTTTTGTTCTTTTTTTTTTTTCCCATTCTTAAGAATAAAGGTTTTAGCCTCTTCCCTTCATTTCGAGCTTGGGAACGAGGATGTGGGAAATAGGTACAATTCATAAACATAAGGCTATTTATGTATGGTATTCGTTTGGGTAAATTATGCAATGGTATTGTTTTATATCTCCTTTTGCTCTAAAACTTGAAACTTCAAGCGATGCTTCGGAGTAACAGATACAAAGATGCCAATCTTTTCTTAAAGATATTTTAAGATTTGAGTAGAACATTACAATATTCATAGAAGTTTGAAGTTGGCCCTAAAATCAGGGGAAAAATAAAATTATGATCTTTTTCAACTTTAAACACATGTTGAAATGATTAATGCTTTTCCAGTATTATTTACATTTGCAGCTAATGTATTTATTAAGATGATTACATCCTCAATACACAGGAAAGTCTTCCTGGTTTTCCTTAGGAATATATCTTTCACGCCTGAGGTGGCAAAGCAGGCGTCTCTTGCTCACAAAATTGAGAAGATATCACACGTTGACTAACGGGTTAATGGGTACCTTTTCTTTATTTCTAAGTTTTTGGACATTTCCATGCATTGTTTACTTTTATACTGTGAATTTGAGATTATATCATTTGTGATAAGGTCCTTTGGAAGGGCATAAAGAGGCATAATAAGTGTTGCTTGTATTGTTTGTTTATCATGGATGATAATTTCCTTAGTGATCCTAAACTCATATATCTAGTGTTTTATCAGACAAACTAGTCGCATGCTGGGCCAAGCCGGTTTCTAGGTTCCTACCCACCTCAGTAGATTTTAAGATTATTTTGCATTAAACACCCCCTCCCCTCCCCAACCCCAACCCCAACCCCCCCCAAAAAATAAAATAAAATAAAAAAATAATAAAAATAAAAAATAATAAAAATAAAACATAAAAATAAAAATATAGAAAAGAAAGAAAAGAAAACCGGTGGGAACAAGGTAAGCCAACGGTAAGTGAAGTCACTGGGGTCTTTAGACTAGGACAAGTAACCCTCACCCCTCCCACCAGTTCCAAATTGGTTCGAGCCGTTTTAAGCCGCCTTACTAGTTTTTAATACCCTACATCAATGGTTTAAAAAGCGGATCGGTGACTCGGATCGGGCACCCAAAAAACCGATCCGGGTAGGCGAGTTGTCGATCCGGATCGGGAATCGGGTGAATCGGTCAGACTAAAGCTTAAAAAAAAATCCGAAAAAATTATTAAAAATTATTATAAATATTGTTTTTTAAGAATTCAATAAGAAATGAGGGTACTCCATTAAGAATTTTCATGTTTTTGCATGAATATGCGAATATTGATATGTTCTTTCCCTGAAGAACTACTATTCAGCATTTAATTTACATCACACAAAGGATAAACATAGAATTATCATGGAATAAGTATATCTACATACATGGACTACAATGAAGCATAAAATTAGCAACATACAATCTAAAAATAAAATGATAGACGACGTTGTTGTTCTTCTTGCTCACGCTGGTGCTATTGATTGAATTCGTTTGATAATTCATTGATTCGATTTAAAAACGAATCATCGATATTAGCAGGCGTCTGACTATTTCCAAATCCCTGAGTGTTAGTGTTTTGTTGTGTTCCCAATCCAAAATCCCCGAAGCTTGTCCATCCTTCATACTCACCTGCATTGTCGTGCTCATCCCTACACTGTTGCTGTTGGGACTCGATATGTGAATAATATGGCTGGGATAGGGTGGCCTCAGAATCTTCATCTCTCTCATTTTTTCTTAGACCCCCTTCCCACTCTCCCTCATTAGGTGCAATATCACCGACATCTTTGGCGAATTGTGTATACGTTGGCTGGCTGCTTCCTCTTTCATTAATAATAAAAACAATTCTTCACAGAGCCAGCTAACATCAGTCATTCCAACAAAAAAATGCAATAACAACAGATAAAAAAAATACAGTTTTGCATTAAAAATATAATAACATGCATTTTTTTTGCATAAATAATCAATCAACGTACAATTTTTTCAACAAAAACTTTAACAATAAAAATTTAAAATATGGTTTAATACCTCATGATAATTAAAACTTTGTCACGATTTTCACATCTTTTCAAAAAATCATCATTTTTCAAAAAATTCGATCATGGAAAAAAAAAAAAAAAAAAGTACAGCAAACTCAAACAATAAAAATAAAAAATTGGGTTTAATACATCATGATAATCAAAACCTTATCACGATTTTCACATCTTTTCGAAAAATCATCCTTTTTCAAAAAATTCGATCATGGATAAAAAGAAATAAAAAAAAAAAGTTCACCAAATTTTCAAAAAATTCGATCACGGTAAAAAAAAAAAAACAAATTTTCAAAAAATTCGATCGTGGATTAAAAAAAAAAATCACAAATTTTCATAAAATTCGATCATGGATTACAAAAAAAAATTCGATCATAGATTAAAAAAAAAAATCACAAATTTTCAAAAAATTCCATCATGGATTACAAAAAATTCGATCATGGATTACAAAAAATTCAATCATGGATTACAAAAAAGTCGATCATGGATTAAATAAAATTCGATCATGGATTACAAAAAAAAAACAAAAAATTCGATCGTGGATTACAAAAAAAGAAAAAAACAATTCGATCATGGATTACAAAAAGTTCAATCATGGATTACAAAAAACTCTATCATGGGTTACAAAAAAAACAAAAAACAAAAAATTCGATCATGGATTACCAAAAAAAAACAAACATTTCGATCATGGATTACAAAAAATTCTATCTTGGGTTACAAAAAAAAAAAAACAAAAAATTCGATTATGTATTACAAAAAAAAAAAAACAATTCGATCATGGATTACAAAAAAATCGATCAAGTATTACAAAAAATTCGATCATGGATTACACCAAAAAAAAAAAAAAAAAAGTCTGTTCTTCACAAAGCCATCTTACATAAGCCATTTTAACCAAAAAATCCACCTCTAAGCGAATAAATTACATCCAATTGAGTACATTTTCTGATAAACAACAATATAAGGAATCAAAACCCTAAATTTTGAACACATTATTTCTAATATATCATGAACAAAAAATCAAAAAGCAGAAAAAAAAAAAAAAACAGCGGAAATTTGGTTCCGTAGACATCTCTGTGTTCATGTGAAATTTCATGCTGTAATTGACCAAATTACATAAAATTGAATATGTTAAATCATAATAAACACAATAAAGATTAAAAACCCTACAAATTGAACTCATTATCTTCAATATATGCAGTGAAATTAATCATATGGCGGGAAAAAAAAAAACCGAAACTTCTTACCTAGTTTTGTGAACCGGAGCCTTCAATCTCCAAAAAACTCTGTTTTTCGCAACAATTATCACAAATTAGTAACATAAGGTTTTGATGAACAACTTTACGATCAATATGCCTACAAATTTTGAAAGATTCATGCCCTATTTGGCATGAAACACAAGGAAAGGCAGAAACCCTAAATATGCAAGTTTCGTGATCCGAAAACACAAAATTTCTCAACCATTTAATCCGTTTAAAAGCTGAATAAAGCTGTTTAAAGCCTGCAAATTAGATCACATTCCAGAAAAAAAAAGAAAAATGATAAAAAAATAACAAATTTCGAAGAATCCCGTGAAGAACACTGTGCAGCTCGTGTTCTTCACGGGACTCGCCGATTCCGTATAGTGAATCGGCGAGTCACTGTGCAGGATCGTCCGGTTCTCTCTAGAACAGGACAATTCCCGATTTTTTTAGCGGTCCGAGTCGTCCATGACGATTCCCGAGTCTAACCGGGCGAATCCGGTTCGACTCGGCGTTTTTTTAAACATTGCCCTACATATATCTTTGGGGCATTGGTTTATGATATCATTTTGTATAATTGAGTATATTGAACATATGACATAGTTTCCATATGCATTATGAATGATTGTAGGCATAAATATAGTCTCTTAGCCACATAACACCAAATGCAGAATTTAGCCTATCAAGAAAAATTTTCCTTCATATAGATACTTTGTAATGAAAAATGACACAATATGATAGAAAAAGTCACAATCGTCTCTAAGGTCAAATGTGAAATTGCGTTGCCATAGAGGTGTGTAATTGACCATACTAAGGAAAAAAATTTCTCATGTAGAGAAATAATATGCCACAGCCACTCAATTTTACATAGGATGGCTTGTAGTATTCGTGAACTTTGCCAATATCAGGTTTGCATGATCATAAATTACCCCAAAAGAAAAGGTTAGCATGATCATGAACAAAATGAATATGCTAACCATAATATAGTAGAGGGCATATGTGCAATGAAATGATCTCTTTCGCAATTTGGCGAAACCAATGCAAGAAAAATTGGGCGGTTCAAATTCTAACTAGCGCATTAAATTGGATCGGCTGATTTTGGTGAACCGGTTGTGTATTTTAGTTCTTTTTTAAAAAAAAATGTATAAAAAAAAAAAAAAAGACATTTTGTTTGTAATGTTTTTTTAATATTTTTTTTTATCATTTTTATAAAGATTGAAAATTGTTCTAGTCCTTAATATCTAGGAAAAATTACGTAAATGTCTGTTATATTTCTTATTATTACAAAAATATCTGAAACTTTCCATTATTACCCAGATGTCCATATTTTCAACTTCATAGCACCATTATTACCTAGATGTCTATTTTTTCAACTTCATAACGTTTTTTTTTTTTTAAAAGATGAAACTATGTATTGGGGTGTCCATTTTTTCAACTTCATAACATTTTATTTTTTTTAAAGAAAAAGATGAAAATACGTATTGGGGTGTCCATTTTTTCAACTTCATAACACTTTTTTTTAAAAAAAAAATGAAACTACGTATTGGGGGGATTCAAACCCTTGACGTGAAAGTGTAGAAGCATACATGATAACCAAAAAGCCACACCCATTCCGGCTTTTTTTTAGTTTTTTAATATAAAAAAATCCAGTAAAAATAGATTGCATATGGATATGAGGGGACTCAAACCCTTATTTTTTTAGTTTCTTAATATAAAAAAGTCCATTAAAAATAGATTGCGTATGGATATGAGGGGACTCAAACCCTTGATGTGAAAGGGTAGAGGCATGCATGATAAACAAAAAACCGATTCAACCCCATATTTACATATTTGGGCATACATAATATTGATATTTAA